ATTCACCAGCACCTACACCACCAGCTCCGTAACCAGTCCCGTATCCGGCGCCATATGTCCCGTACGTATTGCCATAGGGGTTATAGCCATAGGTGCCATATCCTGGGTAACCGTACAGACGAGAATATGGGTATGAGTATGCATAGTATTGATAATTATTATATGGGTTGTAGTATTGGTTAGTATAGCCGGTATAGTCGGGCGTGTATTGACCACCTCCGTAACGGGCGTTATAGTTGGAGCGCCCGTATAGACCACTATTATAGCGGTTGTAGTTCACGCCGTACGCCTGGCCGTTGGCTTCTCTATCTATAAATTTTTTAATTCAGTCAAACACACAAATTATAATAATCATAATTAAAATTATTTTTAATACACTTTAAACTCTTTTTATAGTTAATACATATAAAAGGGGGTTTCAATTAGTGCGTAAAAGTCAATCATAAAACATACTAATTATTATAACACAAAAATGGGCAACATGTTTAGTTAGTAAAGTTTTTGTGGCTATAGAGGTCAAGGTCAGGTGTGTAGTAGGTAGGGGTCAACACTTACAATAGCTGGCGGCCATTATTAGCACCAATATGAATGCTAAAATCGTGGACTTCATTCACGGTAGTAATTTAATTTAAAACTTTGTTAAACACATACATTGAGTTATTTTAATATTTGTGACGGACTCTAACAAACGATTGACACGATTATTAAAAGCGAGACTTATTTTTATATTTGGCAAACAATTGCTTGTCAAACATCTGGATATTAGTATCAATAGTAGAGAGAGAGAGAGGGAGAGAGAGAGAGAGAGAGAGAGAAAGAGATTGTAAAGATTTTAATACAGTTTGCCTAGATTATATGAAATACATAAAAATTAAATAAATAAATCCTAGATAATTATACCTTGCAATTTTCAAGAATTTTTAAATTTAATTGAATGTGACATGTGTATCATGTGTACTAAGACAAATTAATTATGTAGAAAATATTAAGATTTCGCAACAATTTTTTGGACATTATAACGAAATTATATACTAATATTGTTGGTAAAAAATAATTGTGTTTAACTTTCAATTGAATTGTAGTGATTGATAACTTTGACACAAATAGCTATTGAATTTGGAAAATATTAAACAAATAGTAAAAATGTATGTTTTTGAAAATATTTGTTGAATGCACTTCAATGTAAATAACATGCTATTAATTACACTATAGTTTGGTGGTTAGCATAAAAATGTTGAGTTATTTTTAATTTATGTGTAAATAAACGAATGTCCAGGTAGATAATATTGTAATAATTATGTTTATTTTAAAAATTAAATTTATTTTAATATTATTAATCTCAATATATATTTTATGTAATATTTTAAATAGTTAGATTAATTAATATATAATTATTTGTAAAATGTAAATATATAATTAGGTAATTTATAAATGCAATATTATATACTACCTTGGCTACCAATAGACAAATAGATCTATTTTTAAAAATTTAAAAACCAAATATAATAATAAAATCAAAATCTTTTGTTAAAACGTGTAGATCCGCATACATTTCCATTAAAGTGTGTTTCATTGAAAATAATTTCATAAGTTTATTCAAATACTGACATAAAAATTGTTTGATAATGTAATAATTTTATAATAAAAAGTATCTACATATAAATTTATATTATTTTAATTTGTTTGTACAGTATGAGTTAAA